CATGAGGCTTTGGGGGAACACGCACACACAAACCATAACAGCTTTCTTGATGCTTTATTGTTCCCTATTTGTATTCAGTACTATTAAGATCAGAGACTACACTTTGTAAGTTTTATTCCTTTAAAATAGATTGAAGGCTGGGGATTCAGCTCAGTGGCACAGTGCCTGCCTGGCAAGTGCGAGGTTGTGAGTTTGATTCTCGGTACCAGAAAAAAACAACAAAAAAATAAAATAAAATAGATCGAGACTCACTCAGTGGCCTACCACGTAGTTTATCTTTGTAAATGTTCCATCTGTATTTGAAAAGTATGTTTATCTTGTAACAGTTGGGGGTAGAGAGTTCAATGAACATCAGTTAGGATTACTGATAATATCCAAACCTTTCATATCTTTTCTTTTTAACCAAGACTTGTATTTTATTACAGTAAACAAAGACAAATACTTTTATAGTACTATTTTCCAAGTCATGTTTCATGAATGGTCAAAGCAATTCAGAATTAGAACATAACTCACAATAGGATGCTTTAAACTGTTCATTTACTTAACTGTAATACCATAAGCTGCCTTTCATTTATTTTGATACATCCCATGGGATTTAGAGGATCTTCAACCCAGTGTAGTTACTTCATAAATATTTGATCATTTGGGTATACACCTGCACAACACCTCCCATCTTTCAGGAAGGAAAACACTAAAAAGTAAAGATTTGATACAACTAACTAGTTAGAATGAGAATCTGCTCCAAATATTTATTTATCTGAGGTAAGGGGCATCACACACCTATTCAGTTAAGAAAGTATCCCTACAATTCAGAATGCTTTTAAAACTTTTAAGCCAAGTCTAAAACACTTAGCTACTAATTAGGTGCTGAATAGCAGAGCTCATGCTGTGAAACCATAGGGAACAGGTGCCAGCAACTCAGGCTCCTTGCCATTGATTCTCACAAAGTGTTCTTCTCTGACCCAGATGGGCTGGTGCTTCCACTGAACCCAAGCAGCATCTCTTTGGCTTCCTTCTTCTTCTAATCATTTTCCTTGACACATTTTAGGAAGCTATCTTGACTCCTAGAGTGCTCATGCTCAATATGTACATAAATTTTCTTGGCAAGTATCTTGCCCTTAATGTGTTGGTTACAATAAGAACAATAGCATGCTGGGTAACACCGCAGACTCTTCAAGTTTTGTCATGGTAACACTTTTGTAGTTCCTTTTTGAACAATACCCATTCCCTTTATATCTACTGTATCACCCTTTTTGTAGATTCCTACATATGTGGCCTAAGGAACAGCCCCATGTTTTCTAAAAAGCCTAGGTGACTTATACCAGGTTCTTCTCCTCTTTCCCTTTGTGTCTGTCTCTTGATAAATTACCAGAAGATGGTAATTCCAGTCAAAAGCTAAAATCTTCCACATCTTCACTGATTTTTTTCTTATCTTAATGAATTATCAATTACTGAGAAAATTCTGTTAAAAAAATCCAATAATGATTATGGACACGCCCCCAGCCTCATTAGTTCTGATACTTTTCTCTAATACTTCTAAAATCTATTATTATTCACACATAGTTATAATTGATGCAGCTTCTGGACTTATTCTTTTGTTGTTGTGAAACATCTGTTTTCAGAAATTTTAAGGAATAGTACTTGTCTTGATGTTTACATTCGGAAAGTTGAATATATTTATATAATTCTGGTATTATCAAGTTCTCCTCCAATATTTGGCTTCTACTGCTTGTAGACTATATTTCACAGGACTGAGAGAACTATATGCTCATAGGTACATTTGTTACCCTAAAAAGAGTGGTAGGCTCTACCAGGGCCAGTGTAATATCTGAAAAGGTTTGTGGCAAGAGAAGGAAGGGAGGAAGTGGAAATTACCATGGACTTTATGCTACGTTTTGACTTTTAATTTGTGAAGTGTAAGGGGATGGAATACAGTCTTTATAGTCTTTGGTTCTGGGCTTAATTCCTGTTTTTGCTACTAATTTACTGTGTAGTCTTGGGCAAGGTATTTAACCTCTGTTTTATCATATATAAAATACGGATATATGATAGTACAAACTTTGTGTTTTTAAAAAGATGAGATTTTACATATGTATGTTACATCCTGATATACAATTGTTATGGCTGGTACATTGTGTCAACTTGGGGAGTCTAGAGGTTTGGCTAAATGACTCAGCAGGGAGCCAGGGTGCTTACTTTATAGTCATTCTGAGCCTGTGCAAGAAAAAGGCATACAGAGGGTGTGGGTATAAAAGACCAGCCCCACGCCCCTAGGGCAGGTAGGCTGCATAAAAAAAGAGAATTTAAAAAAGACTGGCTGCTGGTTCTTGCAGGAGCTCCAGTCTTCGCCTTCAGCTTGGTAGTCTCCTGGCTTCTGGTACAGGCTGTTCAGCCTCCACCTGCGACTCTTCAGCCTTCTGGTGTAGGCTCTCCGGCCTTCCTCCTAGATTCTTCAACATTCTGTCACAGACCCATCAACCTCCTGATACAAACTTACACAGACACTGCAGTAAGCTCCAGGCCTTGGGGCTGGGCTCTTCAGTCTCCAGCACGCAGACACCCTCTGCATGCCTCCTCATCTAACTCTGTGGCCAACCACTATAAGCCAAATTTATAGTTTCTTATACATTTATATATCTTGTGTTATATCTGTTTCTCTAGTAAACGTTGACTGATACAACATTGTACACAGTCTATACACTCATGTGTAGTGCTTAGCAAAGTGTAAGTGCTCAATAAATATATTTTATATAATATGTATTTTTTATTTTAAAGAGAAAAAAGCAATAACAAAATAACAACAATGAAGACAAAAACAAAACAAGAACAATAAAAATGATACAAAATTTCAAAACAAGATGATAGAAATGAACAATTCTTGTTATATTACATGTTGTTATCCTCAAGGAAGTTGCTCAGTATAATGTGTATTATATTTTGTTATATCACATTTTGTTTCATATAGTTTAGTCTCAATTTTTGTGTTAGTTTCTGGCTTGATCTTTAATTCTCTTTCATATTTGATGCTTTCTTTTCCTTATTTGTCCCACTTCTCTTTGACCCTACTTCTTTTCTTAGTTCCTAACTTTTGGGGCCCCATCCTTGCCAAAATTAGACTTCAAAATCTCAAGAATTGGAGAGTATATAATTAAGATAGTTTCTACTTGCTCTACTAATTCTTTTGCCGCTCCTCATCAACCTCCAGAACATGACTAGGACTTTAATTTTTCGTCAGAAAAAAACTGGAGTTACCAGGTTTCCAGTTATTTGTAATGTGAACATAAATAACCAGCGTTTGTGTATCTAGTTCATAAGCATATCCTCTGTGTACTTGTGATGAAAGAGCAATACTTTGCAGAAAAAGTGCCCCACGAATATTTTTAGAAAAAATCATCAGGAGAGTTTAAAAGTCCATTAGAACAGACATTTGAAAACTCAATCCAGCATCTCCCTTTCCACCTTGGGAAGCATTCTCCTCAGAATAATTCTCAAAAAGATGGTGTTTGAAGCTCCTGACCCCAAAGCATGATGTGAAAGATGGTGGGTTCAGCTACTGGTTAGCCTAGGTGCTTAATCTTTGAATTACCTTTTTTGTTTGTTTTTTTTTCCCGTACCGGGAATCGAACTCACGACTTCGCACCTGCCAGGCAAGTGCTGTGTCGCTGAGCTAAATCCCCAGCCCTGAATTACTTGTTAACGTTTGATTTTCTTGGTTTATAAATTCTGTGTGGTTATTATCCGCTCTCATGGTTCCCTCTTTAGAGAATCCTTCTCCTAAACTCATGTCCACATAAATTTCCCTTATTATAGGCGTTCATACATGTTGTCACAGTTTCCCCTCTTCACGTAAGTATGTATTCATCAACACCAGCCTCCTATACTGCACTGTAGGCTCCACCAGGCCAGGGACTAGGACTTGCACTGCACTGTTGCCCCTACATCCTCAACACATCAGTGTACATAGACCCAGAGTGTAGCACACTGCCTGGCACACAGTAGGTACTCAGCGCACAAACGAGTGAAAAAGTGTCCAGAAGGCTGTCCCCTGCGGCGCGGAGGGAGCTACTTTGACCTGCAGCTTGCGCCCTGGGGTTAGGACCTCTTGCTTTCCAGCCCAGCTCTCAAGAGCATCATGGCCGCGCCCTTTCGTGACGTCGCGTAGGCGGGACTTCCGGCCGCCGAAGTTTAACAGTCCAGGCGGGAGCCGGAAGCGGCGCGCGGAGCGGGCAGCGCCGTGGCCCCCTGTTGTCCCGCTACCCAAAGGTGAGGTTCTGTGGGGCCGGGGTCAGCCGGTCACCGCTGGTCACGCCCGAGCCGTCTCCTGAACCCCAGCGTCCTTGCCGCCGCCTCAGAGGGCGGGCCGGAGGCGGCCGGGCCCCGCGCGCCTGGCG